TTTTGATAAAATTACAAATATGTCAAAATTGACATTGACATTTCAAACCGGAAGTTGACCATAACTTCATTAATATTGAAGATAAATATGTCGTGTTTGTACTCATTTTAAAGGATTTTTCACGGCCATTACAAATATGTCAAAATTGACGTTGACATTCTTAACCGGAAGTTGACCATAACTTCATTAATACTGAAGATAAATATGTCGTGTTTGTACTCATTTTAAAAGATTTTTCATGAAGATTACAAATATGTCAAAATTGAGGTTGACATTTTAAATCTGTAGTTAATTATCATATAATAGAAGTTTTATAATTGAAGTTAATCTAGATTAGTCACTTTTCCGCACTTTCTTTTTATTTTTAACGTGCTTTTTTGGGTCATTTCACATTGATTAAAAAAAAACGTCGATTTTTAAACCATATGATGATTCTTGAATTTTTCCCAAGTCTCTTAATATTTCTTTTGTTAACTTGTAACACTTCGTCCTTACTTTCATTTTACAACTTTTTAAACTTTAATTTTGTATATTAGTATCTAATAATCTGATTTCGAGTTTGATATGTGAACTTTTTTAACAAAACAAAAAGAAATATTAAAAAACTTGTTTGTAAAATGGATAAGATGAAAGATGTTAATCTATTTGTAGAGTCTCTGAAGATGACCAAGGGCCGAAACTGGTTAGAGTTATATTCTATGTAAAATAAAAATCAGTTTAAAAGTACAAAATCAAACTCTAGATTTGTCGCTTAGTCAAGTGATGCAAACAGCCAATTATATTCCCTCATATTCAAAAAATCATAATAAATCAGAGCTTTCATAAATCGTTATGAAATTATCAACACTTGTAGTAGAAATTATAAGCTTTTCAATGAAAGAAACGGTTTTTCAAAAAAAAGAATAATTTTTGAGATATTAATGTTTATACATCGGTTTATACAATTATATTCCTTCATCTTCAAAAAATCATAATAAATCAGAGCTTTCATAAATCGTTATGAAATTATCAACATTTGTAGTAGAAATTATAAGCTTTTCAATGAAAGAAACTGTTTTTCAAAAAAAAAAGAATTTTTGAGATATTAATGTTTATACATCGGTTTATACAATTATATTTCTTAATTTTCAAAAATTCATAATAAATCGGAGCTTTCATAAATCGCCAGGAAATTATCAACATTTGTAGTACAAATTATAAGCTTTCCAAAGAAAGAAACAGATTTTGAAAATATCTTTTAGTTTTTGAGATATACATTTTTTAACATTTTCTCATTTTTCAGTTTACACAGTTATATACACTCATATTCAAAAAATCATAATAAATCAGAGCTTTCATAAATCGTTATGAAATTATCAACATTTGTAGTAGAAATTATAAGCTTTTCAATGAAAGAAACGGTTTTTCAAAAAANAAACTCTAGATTTGTCGCTTAGTCAAGTGATGCAAACAGCCAATTATATTCCCTCATATTCAAAAAATCATAATAAATCAGAGCTTTCATAAATCACCATGAAATTATCAACATTTGTAGTACAAATCATAAGCTTTCCAATACAAGAAACAGATTTTGAAAATATCTTTTAGTTTTTGAGATATAAATTTTTTTACATTTTCTCATTTTTCAGTTTACACAGTTATATTCACTTATCTTCAAAAAATCATAATAAATCAGAGCTTTCATAAATCGATATGAAATTATCAACATTTGTAGTAGAAATTATAAGCTTTTCAATGGAAGAAACGGTTTTTCAAAAAAAAGAGTAATTTTTGAGATATTAATGTTTATACATCGGTTTATACAATTATATTCCTTAATTTTCAAAAAATCATAATAAATCGGAGCTTTCATAAATCGCCATGAAATTATCAACATTTGTAGTACAAATTATAAGCTTTCTAATAAAAGAAACAGATTTTGAAAATATCTTTTACTTTTTGAGATATAAATTTTTTAACATTTTCTCATTTTTCAGTTTACACAGTTATATACACTCATATTCAAAAAATCATAATAAATCAGAGCTTTCATAAATCGTTATGAAATTATCAACATTTGTAGTAGAAATTATAAGCTTTTCAATGAAAGAAACGGTTTTAAAAAAAAAAGAGTAATTTTTGAGATATTAATGTTTATACATCGGTTTACACAATTATATTCCTTTATTTTCAAAAATTCATAATAAATCGGAGCTTTTATAAATCGCCATGAAATTATCAACATTTGTAGTACAAATTATAAGCTTTCTAATAAAAGAAATAGATTTTGAAAATATCTTTTAGTTTTTGAGATATACATTTGTTAACATTTTCTCATTTTTCAGTTGACACAGTTATATTCACTCATATTCAAAAAATCATAATAAATCGGAGCTTTCATAAATCATTATGAAATTATCAACATTTGTAGTAGAAATTATAAGCTTTTCAATGAAAGAAACGGTTTAAAAAAAAAAAAAAAATTTTGAAATATTAATGTTTATACATGGGTTTATACAATTATATTCTTTAATTTTCAAAAAATCATAATAAATCAGAGCTTTCATAAATCGTTATGAAATTATCAATACTTGTAGTAGAAATTATAAGCTTTTCAATGAAAGAAACGGTTTTTCAAAAAAAAGAGTAATTTTTGAGATATTACTGTTTATACATCGGTTTATACAATTATATTCCTTTATCTTCAAAAAATCATAATAAATCGGAGCTTTCATAAATCGTCATGAAATTATCAACATTTGTAGTACAAATTATAAGCTTTCCAATGAAAGAAACAGATTTTGAAAATATCTTTTACTTTTTGAGATATAAATTTTTTAACATTTTCTCATTTTTCAGTTTACACAGTTATATACACTCATATTCAAAAAATCATAATAAATCAGAGCTTTCATAAATCGTTATGAAATTATCAATATTTGTAGTAGAAATTATAAGCTTTTCAATGAAATAAACGGTTTTTCAAAAAAAAGAGTAATTTTTGAGATATTAGTGTTTATACATCGGTTTATACAATTATATTCCTTCATCTTCAAAAAATCATAATAAATCTGAGCTTTCATAAATCGCCATGAAATTAGCAACATTTGTAGTACAAATTGTAAGCTTTCCAATGAAAGAAACGGATTTTGAAAATATCTTTTAGTTTTTGAGATATAAATTTTTTAACATTTTCTCATTTTTCAGTTTACACAATTATATTCACTTATCTTCATAAAATCATAATAAATCGGAGCTTTCATAAATCGCCATGAAATTATCAACACTTGTAGTAGAAATTATAAGCTTTTCAATGAAAGAAACGGTTTATCAAAAAAAAAAGTAATTTTTGAGATATTACTGTTTATACATCGGTTTATACAATTATATTCCTTTATCTTCAAAAAATCATAATAAATCGGAGCTTTCATAAATCGTCATGAAATTATCAACATTTGTAGTACAAATTATAAGCTTTCTAATGAAAGAAATAGATTTTGAAAATATCTTTTAGTTTTTGAGATATAAATTTTTTAACATTTTCTCATTTTTCAGTTGACACAGTTATATTCACTCATCTTCAAAAAATCATAATAAATCTGAGCTTTCATAAATCGTTATGGAATTATCAACATTTGTAGTAGAAATTATAAGCTTTTCAACTAAAGAAGCGGTTTTTCAAAAAAAAAAAGAGTAATTTTTGAGATATTAATGTTTATACATCGGTTTATACAATTATATTCCTTCATCTTCAAAAATTCATAATAAATCGGAGCTTTCATAAATCGCTATGAAATTATCAACATTTGTAGTACAAATTATAAGCTTTCAAATGAAAGAAACAGATTTTGAAAATATCTTTTAGTTTTTGAGATATAAATTTTTTAACATTTTCTCATTTTTCAGTTTACACAGTTATATTCACTCATAAATCAGAGCTTTCATAAATCGTTATGAAATTATCAACATTTGTAGTAGAAATTATAAGCTTTTCAATGAAAGAAACGGTTTATCAAAAAAAAAGTAATTTTTGAGATATTAGTGTTTATAGATCGGTTTACGCAATTATATTCCTTTATCTTCAAAAAATCATAATAAATCGGAGATTTCATAAATCGCCATGAAATTATCAACATTTGTAGTACAAATTGTAAGCTTTCCAATGAAAGAAACAGATTTTGAAAATATCTTTTAGTTTTTGAGATATACATTTTTTAACATTTTCTCATTTTTCAGTGTTCACTCATATTCAAAAAATCATAATAAATCAGAGCTTTCATAAATCGTTATGAAATTATCAACATTTGTAGTAGAAATTATAAGCTTTTCAATGAAATAAACGGTTTTTCAAAAAAAATAGTAATTTTTGAGATATTAGTGTTTATACATCGGTTTATACGATTATATTCCTTCATCTTCAAAAAATCATAATAAATCGAAGCTTTCATAAATCGCCATGAAATTATCAACATTTGTAGTACAAATTATAAGCTTTCCAATGAAAGAAACAGATTTTGAAAATATCTTTTAGTTTTTGAGATATAAATTTTTTAACATTTTCTCATCTTTCAGTTTACACAGTTATATTCACTCATATTCAAAAAATCATAATAAATCGGAGTTTTCATAAATCGTTATGAAATTATCAACATTTGTAGTAGAAATTATAAGCTTTTCAATGAAAGAAATGGTTTTTCAAAAAAAAGAGTAATTTTTGAGATATTAATGTTTATACATCGGTTTATACAATTATATTTCTTAATTTTCAATAATTCATAATAAATCGGAGCTTTCATAAATCGCCATGAAATTATCAACATTTGTAGTATAAATTATAAGCTTTCCAATGAAAGAAACAGATTTTGAAAATATCTTTTAGTTTTTGAGATATAAATTTTTTAACATTTTCTCATTTTTCAGTTGACACAGTTATATTCACTCATATTCAAAAAATCATAATTAATCAGAGTTTTCATAAATCGTTATGAAATTATCAACATTTGTAGTACAAATTATAAGCTTTTCAATGAAAGAAACGGTTTTTCAAAAAAAAGAGTAATTTTTGAGATATTAATGTTTATACATCGGTTTATACAATTATATTCCTTAATTTTCAAAAATTCATAATAAATCGGAGCTTTCATAAATCACCATGAAATTATCAACATTTGTAGTACAAATTATAAGCTTTTCAATGAAATAAGCAGCTTTACAAAAAAAGATTTGGTTTTTAAGATATTAATTTTTTAGAGAATTAATACAAACAACTTTTCAATCAAAAATTACCTCAACCTCAGACGACTCATTGTGTAACTAACCTTAATTAAAACCATATTCAATTAAATTTTAATCATTTTTTCTTATTAATTAATTAATCAATTACCCGCGAAATTAATTAACTTCTCCTTTCTTTTTAAGATAAACAATTCCTTTCAAATAATGGCTGATTACAACGAGGATTTCTTCTTTGATCCCGGAATTGCGATTAAACAAGAACCCGTAAACGAAAACGTTACCATTTCTGCGAGCGTCCCAATCCCCGGACGTCGCCAAATGGACTTATCCGACCTCCAAGACGTCCAATATCCATTCGAAGCGACTCAATCCCCATCATATCAAGACATCTCCCAATTACAAACTCAGTGTGAACCGATTTTGGGGGCAAACACAATGTGGGGCTCCCGAGACATCGTCGAACCGATTACCAAACAAGAATGCATGAATTTAGACGATTACGAAATCTTTAACGTCGATAAATCCGATTTGATTCAAGACGCGAGTTTGGTCGAGATGAACGCAAACGATGACTTCTTAGATTTAAATTTTGACGATTTAATTTTACCAGATGAAACTCTAAATGGGTTGATTCTCCAACAATCAACGCCTCCAGTACCTAATAGATATGTTTCTCCTATACAAAACGTTGTTAATAATAATTTTTCTAATAATACGAGTTTGTTGGCGAGTTCTTGTCCTTCTGGAGGGATGGGTTATTATCGAGACGCGATGGAATTTACCAATACAAATAATACTAATTTTAATCAATTTAATAAATCTTCTTATATAAATTTGAATTTGAATCAAAATTTAAATCAAAATAACCGATTATTACCGAATTCTTCGAATCCTCCAAGCCCTGCTGGGACTTTATCCCCCAAAAAAAGCGCGTTACACGATTTATTAATGAAACCATCTCAACCCGAATCTCCAGTATTAGGAAAATTAACCCCCACGAAATCAACAAGCCCCACAATAAGCGGGATCAACCCCTCGATTGTTGCGAGGATGGGAAAACCGTATAACTCGAGATTATCAACTTCCGCACCGACGAATTCAGCGATGGATTTTATTTGGCAAAGGAGGGAGCCGAGGAAACATTTGTTATCAACGAGTTCGATGGCGGAAGCTGGGAGTACTTCTTCGTTATCAACTGGGGGGGTTTTGAGCCCTGAAGCGCACGATTTTTCGCATGATGAGCAAGAATTCGAAGAAGATAGCGATCATTACGAGGATTTTTCATCAGATGATGGTAATAAAATAATTTTCGTACTCAATATGTTAAAAGATTAAATCGTTTTAGATGTATTGTGATAATTATTGTTATCCTTGAACCTATCTCGCTAAAAGAATCACTTTATCACTAATAAAAAAAAAATATTTTCTAAAATCATAGAGATTAACGATATCTATTTATCTTACAATACAAATTAGATAAGGAAAAAATAAATATTAATTTTTATCATTATTTATTTAATTTATTTAATTTATTAATTCGTTAAATTAAGGTGATTCTGATGACGATGAAGATCACGCTTCGAGACAATCGAAAAAAGAACGTTTCTTTTGGCAGTATAACGTCCAAGCGAAAGGCCCAAAGGGTCAACGTCTCGTCATGAAAACAAAAATGGAAAATCCGCACGTTTTGCATGAAATAACCGACCCGGTTTTTAGCACGGAATGCGCGGTTCGCGGAATTAAGCACAGCGGGAAAGCTCGAAAAGGCGATGGGAATGATTTGACGCCGAATCCTAGGAAGTTGTTTAGTATTGGGAAGGAATTGGATAAACTTGGTAGGATTATTAACGATATGACGCCGGTTAGCGAGTTGCCGTTTAATGTTCGGCCGAAATCGCGGAAAGAAAAGAATAAATTGGCGTCGAGGGCGTGTCGGTTAAAGAAGAAGGCGCAACACGAAGCTAATAAGGTTAAGTTGCACGGATTGGAGAGTGAACATAGTAATGGATTCATTTAATTTTTTTTTGATATCTTCTAATTCATTTTTGTTCCGTAGAAAAATTAATGAGTAGTATTTGCCAACTTAAACAACTCGTTGGGGCGAAATTGCAAAGTAATTCGTTGGAGGCGCAAGAACAGATTAATAGTAACATAGAAAAGGTTTTAAAATCAACGTCAAGTGAGTTAATTTTTGATTATAAACTTCCTCTATTCCTTTCCTTCACTCACTTAATGATACTTATAGATTAGATTATATTTGGAAATACCAGAAAATGTTAAACTCAAAAAAGATAAAGTTGATTAATTTTTTCATAAGAAATAAAGTAATTTTGGAAAAGTGGATTTTTTTCACACTTTTCTTTATTTTGTTTGAAAATTGCAGATTATTTAAAAAAAAAAACGATTTTTTCATGAATAGCCAAGCCATTACTAAGGTAGCAATTGTATCCAGATAATAATCCAAATAATCTACACTTCTGTCAACAGTATTACCAATGTTTACTTTCCCATTTTCAATTTCTTTTTTTGTTTTGCGAGCTGCCTCATCTACCAGCTAGATACAGCTTTTTATCATTAGCAAATACTCTACAACAAGCAGTATCTACTCTTTTATTTGGAATATCCAAATAATTCCAATTATATTAGTTAGACTTTTGTCAGCAGCTTTTATTACCAGTATATATTTTTATGAGTCTATAGCTGTACTGACGGTAATTATTCTTACTTAATACTTATTTTATTCCTAATATCTATGTAAACACTAATTTTACTGTTTTGTTGATCTTCTTGTAGTCGTGCCTGTAGATGCCTATTTAGGCGAAACAGTGTAGCACCGATACT